GCTATTCCGCTATTCGCTATTAGCGGACTAGCGGAATAGCGCGCTATTGCCCAACACTGATTGAATCCATTATGAATGTAATCCAATGGCTTACCTGAGTCGTTGCTACCAGTAAAAATGAATAAGATCAGCGTGCGGTGGGATGCGCAGTGGAATTTGATATAATATTTATTACTCAATACTCAGTGATCACTTAATAATTATAATGATTGGCCACTCGGCATATAGTCTTGACACAATATTAGATCGACAATAACTGACAGTGATAATCAATTACAATATTTCTCAATGATAATCAATCACAATAATAATCAATTTCTTCTTTGAACATATGGACGAGACTTCTGCGAGGCACTGTAGATTAGACTGATGACCCCGATCCTTCGTTCCCTGGTCCTTAAGTAGTTGCATCGCCCATGCATTCCGGAACTCATCGGTCTCCGTTTCCAACAACATTTTGTTGTTGTTCAGTCGTTGTTTCTGGGAATCTTTCTCCTGTAAGATCTGAATTGAAGATAATAACTACTTTTGTTTGGGTTATCTACCAAATTCTTGAGATTTAGATTTTATGTTTTTGATTTAGATTTTATGTTTTGAGAAAGAGGTGCTCGACTTGGTTACACCTCCCACCCTAAGGCAAGACCGTCTCTGGTCTTAAAAATTAGAAAAAAAAAGAAGAAATACCTGTCATACCATAAATGCATTGAGTAGCCTACATGGCTCTAATAGCGGTGCCATTTGCGGTTGATCCCCATGGTGTCGGGTGGAAGAAACGAATGGCCACGTTCATCAACCAGCATATTGCGATGATCACGATGAGTCCTCTCGAATAGGGCATTGATATAACGGCTACTCACAATAGGAGTTTCTTGTGTAGCATGGCGTAAATATGCTTGCCACGTGGCATATTTCAACAGCATGGGAAAATCAGCAATAATAAAGAGACCGTGACTGGCTCGAGAGAGTGCCACTGTAATCCTTTGCGGATCGGCAAAGAACTTGATGCTACTTTCGTCAACAGGTAGGTTCTGAATGGGAACAGAAGTAGATATTGATGAAGGTAAGGCTTCCACTGGAAGAGTTTCGTGTTGTTGCTGGGCTAAATGAGCAGATTCAGGATGAGTTGTTAAGTCCTCTACTTGAGGAGAGATAGGTAGAGTATTAGTTGTGTCTAGTTGATGTGTCAATAAGTTAGACGAGGTAACGTTGGTTGTTGAAGCTTCTACTTGAGGAGAAATAGTAGTATTGACAGTGT